ATACAGGATATTATATGGCCGTGCGGGGATGCGAATTTTATCTTCGAGTGCTGAAAGTAGAGATACTTTCAGTACGAGAAGATAAAATTCGTATCCCCGCGCGACCATATAATGTTCTGTTTATTTTATAAATACTGATGAAATTCCTACATAAAACACAACCTATTTTTTATTATTCATTTTCGAAACAGCAAAATAGTGCAATGCCTTTCACGAAAATGTTATGAAACTCGGATATAAAGTTATAAAGCAGAAACAAAGACAATAATACTTATATTTTCTGTTCCAAAAAATCAAAATTAATGTTAGTAACCATGGCGACACCAATATCCTCACACGTGGAAGATAAGAATAGTTTACTGTATCTTCACTGCGCGCGATGAAGATATGATTTTTTACTAAAAGGAAAAATCCTGGTATTTTATCAGTATCCGGTAAAATAAATAATAATAATAATAATAATAATAATAAACACAAAGAAAAGGAAATATTATATACAATTTACAAATTTAAGTACAAGTTTGTACAGACAAAAAGAATCTAGATGAAGGTAACATCATCTATTCAGTCTGCAAAAAAAATAGTACGAAAAAAGTCCGGTAGTACATTCCATTGCTTAGCTGAAAAGTAAGAAAATGAGTTAAGACCATAGGTGGTTATTTTAAGTTTACTAACTGAAAGAATGTAGTTGCCACGAAGATTATAGGAAGAAAACCGGATTGAAAACATATTCTTTATATAAGCAGGAAAATGAGTGAAAAACAAACTCTTATAAAACAAAATGGGAAATACTGAACGCGCTTGTTACACAACCAGCTGTCTCGCAGTTTTCTCCTGTGAAGCCAGAAGTGCAATGAAAGATGTATTTCTTGCACGTATATCCACTGAAGCATGTTCCGTTGTTAAGGCAAGGGTTACTGGCACAGAGGTTCTAAGGAAAATATAAAACTCATTCAATTTAGGTTTAACCTCCTGAGGTCAACCCAGACATGCTTGACCACTTCATTGGTTCTATTACTTAGAGCAAAAATACTGAAATATCTTCAAATAATGTTTGTAGTATTCTCCTCTTACTTCGTCTCCCTGTAATCATCATCATCATCGTCATCATCATCATCATCATCATCATCATCTTTTCATAATCATTATCTCTGCCATCGTCCATACGAAACACTACTTGTAATTCCTAACTGTGCGATGCCCCTGTAGGTCCATCCTTCTCTTATGTTCAGAACTTGCGGGTGATCTGAATCACTAAGCTCACATACAACTTCGTCGTTCACAGGCGGTACAATGTTTACTGACACGCATCTACTCTCCATAGCGAATCTGTGGTGACACAGCGTGTACATTCCAATCGTAGGATTTAAAAACACGTTATCCCTCAAAAATGAACCACTCTCCAGTGGGAGGAACTTAAGGCGTCGACAACCAGCTACAAAATAATAAGTACAAGAGGGTCTGTAGTTCACCTTGTTGGAATATAAAAAGGAAATCAAAACAATGATATGGAAAAACTGCGCATGTCGCTCAGTCAAACGTCTTCAACCGCTTCGAATTCATTCATCAACTGTTATAAAATTTAGGGCTGGCAACAAAAAAGAAATCTAAATTAGTTTTTCAAAACTTGCGAAAAAGCGAAAAAGAAAACAAAAACAATACTTTATTTTGCTCCTGTTTGTTTCATTTTACTTTGAATTATTGTCTTAAAAGAAAAAGAAAATTGCTCTACAAAAAAAATGGGGCAAAATAGCATGAAAAGAAGCGAAATGTTTATCTATAGCATACTTTAAACCTCACACATGATGATTCGTTGTTTTTCAACTACTTACATAAATCTGAAGTTTAGTACAACCAGCTCGCCGCTGATCATGGGCGTGTCATATTTATGTACTAGGAACTAACTCACCGCTGTTCATCGGCGAGATTTTCCTTCTGTATATCAGCCACTAAGTAAATCACTGACTTTAACATTCACATAACAACCGCTCTGTCGAAATCTCATAATTGTAATTCTCTGATAACCGGTTTTTATTGTTTTCTTTCAACACTGATTAAGTGGGAACATGTAATGAATATATGACCATATGAAGAATGTTTGAAAGATTATTTATGTCAGTTAACTATAGCTATCAGTGATCTTAGCATTTTTCTCTAAATTTTGAGCTTGTTTTCGTTGAAAAAGCTTAATGCTAGAATCAAAACTGTATTTACAAATTTCAGTTTTCACACAATTAGAACTTTTCTATTACACTTTTAAAGAGTCTAATAAATTAATTTTAACAGCATTTTATGATGTCTTAAACTTTGATCAGCGAGACTATCAGCCTGTTGTTCGTTAGTTTTGAAATATGTTGCTTAGATTTTGAAAAACTCTCTCGTTGGACTGCAGTGAAAGAAAAATAAAGGTTAGATTGCGCCAGCTCTACCATTCATTACCTTGATATCCAGTGGCGATGCAGTTTAGGCAAACCCTCAAAACAGCATCCACTAGCAAGTACCTTAACAAGTAGAAACGGCAGCCTATCATAGCTAGACGGCTAGCAATGATCTTATCAGACTTGGTCAAGAACGAAAGCAGGTACGAAAGACAGGTGTGGCACATTTACTTGCTTTGCTATCGCTAAATGATAAAATATTCATATTCATAAAATATTCTGGCGCTGTTTTATTGTTTTTGTTATCAATTCTAGTTATTTTTAACTAATTACACGCAATATGGATCTATGCAAAGTCTTGTAAAAGTTCATCTTCAGATTCGGAAACATGCAGACCAAAAACAAATCTCCCAGTTAACATGCAAAAAAGGCCACTCTTCCAGGGAAGGAGTAAATATTTTCCTGCAATTTCAAACACCCCTTGAAAGTTATTTTAGCTTCAAATGAAGCAAAGGGTAAGAAAATTAGAGCCATAACAGCTTACAATCAGGGACAAAAGTAGACTGACACACTTGTCTAAGACGGGTGCTTTTATCAACAAGTTTATTATTTCATTGTATTAAAACGCCTTAAATCCCCCCACCCCCGGATCAAAACCGTAACTAAACTACAACATTTATCTTAAATGAAGGGGTGGGGGTACCCAGGGGAAGTAGATAGTTATGTCTACCATGCAAAAGGGGCCATTTTATCTGGGATTGGGTCAAATAGAAATCAGTAAAAGCACAATTGTCAAAAAAAATCATCGTGATCAAAGCAGATACTCCGTCATCATTGTCCATGCCATATACAGACCATGCAAGTCTGATCACTGGGGCCTGTCCCCTCTCTGCAGGCTTTGCTAGTGTATTACACAAACCTTAACGGCTGTGATTAAGGTGTAGTTTTCCGCAACGAAATTCGTGCAGTCGTATGTATATGTTGTAATTCAATTTCATTCCTGGTTTAAGTTTTATTTCATTACAGAAACGCGCCCATTCAAAAACGTCGATCGTGAAAATGCAAATAAGTGAAAAATGACGTTAATTTAGTGTCAATCAAGAAATCTCCTGGGTATATCCCTTTCCTGGTTATTGTCCCTGCTCAGACAACCGCAACATTTGCCTATTCTTCGATGAAGAATAGAACTTCACGCGACTAACAATAGCTCAGTCTGTTTAAAAACTGTCTAAATTTACTCCGAATTAGCATATGACTTTTTGCTGTTAAACGCTTCAAAATTGGAAAATCCTCGATGATTGTTGTTGATTTTGCCGTAAATAATTCAATGCACTGACTTAAAACGATCTTTTACCTTTTACAAACTTCATGGTTCGAATCGATCGATGAAATATGAGCGCAACCGATGCGTTAATAGTTTGTTTACATTTTGTCGCGGGTTTTAGATAATATTATAAACCTTAAAATTTACAGGCAAATTCGACGAAAAAGCACTCTCACTTACATTCTTCATTTAAGATATTGATGTTAGCACAGTATAANTCCCTTTCTTTTGGCGTATAGTAAAATTAATGCATGGTAATGAGTTTGGAACCAAGGGAAGTACAGTTTAAACGAGGGATAATATTGAGCAACAACAAATACATCACAAATACATCATGATCCAACAACAAATACATCATGGGGCCAAGTCGCCCAAAACCATACTGGTCCTGGATAACAATACAGTTATAAAAGCAAGTTTTCCACTTCAGAGGTATATTAAGCGATTGAAGTCAGTATCTCTTTGCTCTCACGCTCAGGCGTTATTCAGGCCGCGAAGCACTTGCTGTCAGCACGAAAAACTTGATTTACACCAAATTTATTTAGGGCAAATGTGGTGCAAAAAAGTGCAAACTAAGGTCAGATAAAGGGCAAAGAAGGCCAATTCTCGCATTTTCTCACGACCCCATGTTGAAATAAGCCGGTATGCAAATACGGTATTTGCCCGTCTTTGCCTTTGATTTCCTCTTTGTTTGCACCATATTATTTGCCCTGAGCAAATTTGTGAAAATTTAATTTTTCGTGCATGGTTCCTGTTTCCCCCATGTGCTTTCCGCTTCCAGCATGAAGAAATTCGCGAAAATATCCTGACAAGACAACTTTTGACGAGCGAAGTTTATTCAGCGTCCTAACGGTTTTAACTACAAAGTTACACTGCATAATGAATAATAACTTTAGCGCGATCTACAGCTAATTGGATATGAACAAAGAATGGTCCGTATTGGGAAAAACGATCTGAACAATTGTCGGCTAATTGAATATGCAATAGTGTATTGCAACAGTACCGAAGCTTTGCTGCTTATTAGAGTGCTAATAATATTTAATGTTTTTTTTTTCCGTTATAAATACAATCCGATGTTTTGTACGGTGAAACCTGAGTGTATTTTAGCAATCATTTGGTAAGAGTATGTGTAGGTATCGTTTTAGAGTCTGAAAACTCGTACATTACACTGGTAAGATTTTTTTTAACTGACTCCTGAGCTGCAGATGCTTGTATTTACAGACTTCTTTTAACACTCCACTAAAAAACAATAAATTATGACATTAACCGATAACTTTGTCTGTATGATACCCAAGTGATTATGCTGTGCCATAACACTTGAATTTTCCAAGAGTGTGGTAGCCTTTCTCATCACTTCCACCTGTATCACCAAACCTGAGCTGTTTTACTGGAAGCTTTGTCTTGTCAGTAAGGAGACCACTGTCTTCACGCCATACAGCATCATTCTTATCACAGTTGCAGCCTCTGCTGGGATTTGCGCATGTGTTGTTCATCCCGCATGCACACTTGCCACTTCCAGGCGATGCTCCACCCCAATAGGTCATCTTAGTAGAATCACGTGACACCCACCATCCGGCTGGATCGGAGTAAAAAAAGAAACCTGAGTCTTGACACTCGTACTTGATAAACTGCTCGCAGTGTGAGGAGACACTGGTGAGACCGGCCAGCTGAGATAGACTCGCTCCTGTGTAATTAATATCACGTGAGTAACTACCATGATCGTCATATCCATCCACAATAGTCCTGCTCTCACTGTCGTGACTTATGTCTGTCACACCAACTCCATTCTTGTTGGTCATGTCACAGTACACTGAGAATGGCTCCAGATCTCCCTCGCCATCAGGATCAATGTTGTAATTTCCACTTGCTGCTGTAGGGTCTCCCTTCTTTAAATGGCTGCATGATAAAGCAACTGTAGAAAGATGGTTCGCTATTATTTTTAGATTTTTAGTTTTTCTTGTCTTTAATAATCTATTTAACGGACTTAAGAGTCTTGACAGAAGTACAACTGTTACAACCTAATAAAGGAGCTGAAAAGATGGTACTACGGATCTTACTTTGCAATGTGAGCGATATAAATAAGCCGTCAATACCTTTCGCAAGAAGGGTGAGCACGTAGGATGAATGAATAATAATATAATTAATAATAGGTTTAGCCAAGGCTGAAAGCGAAATGTCCATTTATATACTTTTAATTACCTAAAACCAAAAAAAATCAAAACGAATAACCTTCATCTTATGCAAAGAAGTCCAGAAATTTATACTTAATTTATTTAAAAACAAAAACGGAAATTCGATCTCAGTAATAGTCTGGAAAAAGAATTCTAACCCATTCGTCTGCATTACTAAACCCCAACACCACGCTTCTCCCTCGTCAGACCCCTTTTATTTGAGATGCTAATAGCCTATGAAATTTAATGTTCTATTAAGTCTATTTGTTTTTATTCTCAGAAACCCTTTGGTTTCGTCCAGTTCACAGTTTATGTGTAATGTGGGTCAATCTAACTGTCTGCAAGGGATTCTCTCCCAAGTGGTAAATTAGACCAATTTTTTTGTTTAGAATATGCTTCCTTTGTGAATTCGGATCGACAATCCATTACGTGTAAGCTACCCTTTACTAATCACAATATCCGATACTCAGTAACTTTTCCTTAAATTACATATTTTTGTATATCTTCTTGCAAATAAGACCCAGGGAGGTTGTTAAATAACCATAATTTGCAGTCTACACAAACTGCCCTTTGCATGGCAGTGTACCTACACAGCTAAATGTGTGCTAAATCTAACTTGAACTACAAATTGTAAACGTAACAACAACGAGTAAAGTATTCCAAAAAGGCGAAGTCATTTTGGTAAAGTTAGGAGTCTGACGGTAAAATAATCGGCAGATCTCTTCGGTGTTAATGAACAATGTGAGTTAACACAAGCGCGAGTCACAAGCAATATTCCAAACATTTTCAGACATTTCACTCACGCGCAGTAATACGAGAACTGGGTTTTCTCTACGGTCTTTCTCTTTGCATTTGCAACCACAGAATTAATTATTTTAAGCTTAAGCTTCCGTATATTAAACGCGAGGTCTGATTTACATCACCTTTCCGTCTTGGGAGCCTTGGCAGCTGTTGTATTTCATTTTTCTGGCGGCAGTACAGGAATACGATAATTTTAAAACTCGACTGAAATAAAATCTTTAAATTTTTACTAATTACACTGCCCTCGGCAAAAAAATTCTAGATCCCGCATAGGTTTCCACGCCTGAATTCACCCGTCAAAATTTAATCTAACCTCGGGGGGGGGGGGGGGGGGGGGGGGGGGGGGGTAGGAAGGTATATAGATAGCAATGTTTAAAAATCGCGTAAAAAAAAATTTTTATATTTTTTAATAATTAACCCGCCTCGGAAAAAAATATTTTAACCCCCCCATGTGTTCCCCCGCCGGATGTCCCCCTAAAAAATTTAATCTACCCGCGGGGGGGGGGGGCTGGGGAGAGGGAGATTAGGTTGTTTCTCGAGTGTGGCCAAAGGCGTGACCAAGTAAAAAGTAAAGCCTTACAAATTAATTTCCGTACATTTGGTCGTAAACCAATCACAGGAAATGGCAATCTAGATTCGTGATCAAGCAACTCCGTTGGTTGTTCCTAGAATAGCTAATTTTTCGAGAAAACTACACGCAACGTACACGTCTGAAAATCCCTTCCCTACCCTACTGAGTTTTCTGCCGACTTGACTTCACGTTTAGTGTGAGTAACACATATGTACAAGGATGGCTAAAAAACCTTCCAACCTTATAATTGGTTTCAGCTCCATAAGACGATTTTAACACGAGTCCCGCCTTTTCACATAAAATTGTAGGACACCACAAACGAAAGCAAGGCAAACTAAATAAAACAATAATAACAAAGATAAAATAATTTAAAATGTAACACTTAGATCGCTAATTGTTTCAAACTATTTAATTTTTTTAATATCTCTTAATTTCTTATATCTCGGAGCCTGTTCTGAAAGAAATCATTCCCAACATGAACAAGACGAAGTATACTTGTCGTCAGTTAAATAGCAAGGCCATAGAAAGTGCAGCATTATGCTTTGTGAGCGCAATAATCGTGGGAAAGTGTAGTATTGTAAAAGCGCAATGCGTATGCAAAATTGACGAAGGAGGACTACAGAAAGCCTAGAATGACGTCTGTAGTAGTAGAGACGCTTGTGATAAGGCCATTTGTGGTAAGAATCTTCTTTTCAATGTACTATGTTGCTTTTCGCGCTTATAGAAGTTATTTTTGCATAAGAGCGATGTTTATATCTCTTTCACACGGGTGAGAAATGTAGCATTTTTCTTTGGAGCTATCAGTGCGCAAGGCCCCAGAAAAGCCGAGAAAAAAAAGCAGCAACTGTCGAAGAATACGAAAGTGACGAAAGCAACGATGAAGCATTGACATCAAGTCAAGTAGCAAGTACTGGATTCCTGATCACCTCACCATCGTCAATGGAAAGTTATGTCCATGCATCAGCGCCCTTGGAATGCGACGTGGAGACTGTGGCACAACAGGTATTAACTGTGAATGATTACAATTAAAATTTGTCTTGTGTTCTTAGCGCTAAAATGTTTGAAAATCCAGACGTTTCGGGACTACTGTCCCTTCATCAGTGGAAGATGCCGGTACACTGAACGCGCGTAATGTTATTCAAATGTGGCAACATTTGAGGCGCGCGCTGGAAGAGTTCGCTCAAATAAAATTGAAGTCAATGTTTATGCCGCGCAGCTGTAGAGTTTTGCATTAAAAAATTAGGCGGCCCTCCGCTCTACGTCTGTCCCTGGTGTTGTGAAGTCCCGCTCGCGCAACAGCTACCATCATATCATCTGTTGTGTGACCGGGGAAGGAAAAATGTTTAGCGACGGGCAGGCCAGCTTTCTTTGAGACAGATCTGAGGTGTTCGCAGAACCTGTCCCAAGCCTACGTCCGGTTTCGCCAACGTACGACAGAGGGCATGCCCGCCAAGTTATGATATACACGAGGTTACTTGTCGTGCATGAGAACCCCTGCCGTATGCTCAGAGGTCCACCTGGGGTGTTGATCTGGGTTGCTGGGTTGGTATGGGCACAGGTCTTGCATGGTGGACGACGGCAGGGAAAAGTTCCATTTAGTTTATCGTTAGTGTTTGCACCGGATTGAAGGTTGCTGCTGACCAAGGAATCACGCAGGTTGGTTACGAGGCGGTACGCGAATTGTTCAGGGTATTGAAAGATCATAAAAATCAAATGTTTCAGGAATTAGTGAACGCTTCGTACGGACGTTGCTTCCAGAATGAAATGGACAGCTTGCTGGGCAAAGAAGATTTTATAGACACTCAAGACTGTGGGACAGAGAAGGTGGCTAGAATTTGGCTCACAAATTCGTCCTTCGGCTCCACTTTGAAACGTTCAATCACCAAGCCTCAAGATGTAAAGTTACTGATTGATAAGTTTGGCTTTCACGCGGACAACTCACAGGCTGGAGATGAAGAAACAAGACTTTCGGATAAACTGACTGTGCTTGTGAACGACATAGGACTGGCAATAAAAAAGATGGAGTACGCCCTCTTTCGCGGAAAAATTCACAAAAAAATTTCCATCGGCCAAGTACACTTTCGCTTACAAATGCGAATTCTGCGTTTTCATCAATAGCCTTGCAGCGAACGAGTTCTTTAAAGCATGACTGCTAAAGGACATGAGAAAGACAATCGACATCCTTTCCGACTCAGACTGCGAGGTGATACGTCCGATCTCCATCGTCTACAATCTCATCGAGGTAGATGGTGGACACTGTTGGTCCATCAAAGAAAGGCGCTTTGTTAATAAATAACCTTCTTGGAGACGAGAAGATGGGCGTCGTTTCAGCGTTTACCAGGTACGATCCAGACAAAGAGCCCGACCCAAAATACTTCAAGGAGATTTTGGAGAACAGCCTCTCACAAGCGAAAATACGTGAATTTTAAGAGGATTTCCTCAAGCTGCTCACCTTCAACAAGAAATGCCACAAGGATAAAGTTCCCTGTAGATGCAAACAGTGGCAAAACGAGCCCTTCCATCCCATTCTCGGGATTGTGCACCACACAAACATTGCAACAATCACCAAGCAGAGGGTATTCAAGTCTCCCGGCTCCCAAGAAAAGCGCCTCGGCATGGCTGCCAAGATATTCGATGGAGTTCATCGTTTGGACTGCAGCGCAAGCCAAGGCATGCACGACATCAGCTTCAGAGGACGAGCTGAGTGATGAGGAAAGCGCAGATGAAGGAGTATTGGCAGCGGCAGACAAGGAACAGATTCGTGCGTTGTGCATGGACGAGGGACTGGACGAGCGTGATGGTTCACCTGTCGGAGTGAGTGTGCAGGGTGCAACGGACGAGACTGAGGATGATTCGGACGCGATTAGTCAGAATGAACAGACCATCAGTGCGTTGAGAAGAGTTATGGAGCCATAAGCGAACAAGTGGCCCTACTTCCGAGGGATACATCGGAGCCCATGCCGAAACAAATTGAAAACGATCTGGCAGGCTTCAGGCAGCAGACTCTCCAAGAAGACTTGAAGAGAAAGCGAGAAAGAGCACTTGCCGCCTTCCAAACACCTTGGCTACTAGAAATGGAGCAAGAATTACACAAGCTCACCCGGACCCTAGAAACGTGAGACATGAATCAGGAGAGAAGGATGTCTATGGAAGCCTATCGTGAGGTCTTGCAAGATAATCTGACGAGGTTTCACCAGAACTATGGTACGGCCGGTTGCCATTTCGCCCTGGAGCAACGAAAGCGATCATGCGTCACCCTGGCTCTCCTGAAGAAAGAGCAAAGATTTCCTGTCACCAGCCTCTTCCAAGTCTTGCCGAACGAAGACGACTTGGGCGAATCTTTCGGATTGGATGGTCACAGAGATGGAAGCACCACCTGCAAAAAATCAGTGGATGCCGCACCTTCAATTACAGACACATTTCTTCATAACGCCATTTCCACGCTCGCAAACGTTCAGTACAGCCCCTCCCAAGTGTCAGCGACGAGCCACTACCAGTGACTCCAGGAAGAGAAAGGGTGCTTCCTCGAGGAAGCAAAGCCAGCGAATCAAAACCTTTCGTCAAACAAACAAAATAGATAACCTCTTCCCAAGTCAAAATTAGGTTATTTTGTGTAATACGACAATAAAACGATGCTTGTGATAGCCCGAGTCATATTGTTGATTGCCTTTTTAGTTATATTTGAAGGATGTCTTTTTATTCTGGCATAAATGTAAAGTTCTAGGGTAAGTTAGAAAGTGCTAGGGTAACTAAGAAAGTGATCCGAATCTTCGTGCTCCACGCCTCAGCAGTAAGTTGGCAGTCTTTCTCTTTTGAAAACGAAATTCGCTATCTCTGAGAATCGCTTTCCATTGACCGTAGCCGTATCGCTGAATGCCTGCTTTAAGATAATTGTCTTCTTCGGGGGTGAACATCAGACTCTTTTTTCTCGCCGGGGAAACGTAATACTATAAAAGCATTTTCCCGCTCTAGTCTTGGGACAGCTGAAAGACGCTCGGGTGGTGTTTCTGCGATCGTTTCTCCCTCGTCGTTTGACGAAGTATCAGTTTTGCTACCATTTCGATCTTCAGAGGACGCAGAATCGCCTGAACGCCTCGAGCGCACGCCAATTTCAAGCTCTGACCCTTTGTCTCCATACAATCTTTACAAATGTTCATGTGCTTTACTTGCACCTCGCGCGATCGTTGCTTCTGATAGTGAACGCTTGCAACAACAGAGTTATGTTTCTGGTACTCGGAGATTGTGCTCTGCGCGCTGCTGCTCAGCTGTCTGGAACTCGCGGTCTCCACTATCTGTCGATAGCGAGTCGAGTGAACGTACTTTCCCGTTGCATCAAAGACCAGTTTACTCATTAGCCCTCCCACCTTTACGTTCTGCCCTCCATTTCTTGTGGCCAATACAAAGTCGCAGGTCGGTCTGAGTAGGGGGCGAATGTGGTTGATGGAGCCATCCAGCACTTGCATGCTCGTCTCAGTCAAGTAAAGACAATCGAAGCCATATTTTCCAGCCGTTTTGAACATTTTCTGGTCTACAAATCCATCGTTAGTCTTGGCTTTGTTCACCATTTTCATTGTTAAGTACTGATATGACATGGGACACGAGCCCTTGACGTTTATCAAAGAAAAAATAGACGGCCACAAATTTGGTACCTAAAGATAAATCTGTTGGCAAAACAGCACCCGGTTTCTCCTTGCATGATGTCAGCACGCTGTCGTAGCGCGGCAAGTAGTGACCCACGACTTCCAAAAGTTCTTCTAGTGTGGCCCAGTACCCCTTGGCTTTTAAGGCATTGATGTCGAGCTCACTGGTTCACTGCAACCTCATCATTTTGGAAACGGTTTTGCGCACCTTTTGCAAGTAAATTTCTGTTGAAGTCAGCCCAGTCAATACCGATTCCGATGCTCCATTCACTTTTCGATAATCCACCAATTCTGCAATGGCATCCAAGTAGCCTATGCGTCCGGCATGCGCGAGGTTCCAATCATCCTGCATCGCATCAACAAACTTAAAAAGGAGACTCGGTGAACATAAACTAAAGTCCACAATGTCAAATGTGACCTCCTCTTCGTCCTCGCAACAAAATTTGAGAAACTTTAGCACTTGCTAACGCTCTGTTGTGGATGTTGATCACTTTTACAGCCCCAACCACTGTCAGTGAGCCTCGAATAAACGTTCTTGGCAATTTTGTTCGTAGGATCAAAAAAGAAAATTGGCCTGCTTTTACGTCGTGTAATCTTCTGATCACTGGCTTCACATTTTCTGGTTTCATCGACATTAAGCGTATCGATTTGAGCACTGTCTGGCTTCTCGTCGAAGTAATAGTACCAACTGTGCTTGTTCTTTACATGTTTTCTACAGCATCTTTGCGTAGTAAATCCATCGTGGTCACAAATTTGCACTGGGCAGTGAAAAAGACAATCACAGTCATCCTCTTCTAAGTGAAGTCTCTTTGGTTAAGGCGATGCGTTTGCTAACTTTGATAAGTTGACATCCTTGCCTCGTTTGTTCATCTCAAGCATTAGGTTGAAATCGATAACTTTCTAATATAGTAGCAGAAGATTCCCCAAGAGATCATCCTATTCACCAATGAGATATTTGTTTACTCATCTCTGCCCACACTTGGTCATTCTTGCCCCTTGCCCCATTGTTTCCTCGTCCGTATTTGGTACACAATTAATCAAAAGGAACAAAGGCACAAGCCTGAACTTGCCCTGACCAGCCCCAACGAGATTAAGCATGTAGCGGACAAGTCTCTTACTTAACTTGATTGTTGAAGGATATATGTTTTGATAAATTTTTTATGGAGAAGGTGATGGACAGTAATTTCAGATAGCCTATGATAAATAGGAGCTATTGATCCCTATTCCTTTTTACGCTTTGCGCAAAATGGAACGCTAGTTCCTTTGTCAAAAATTCGGAACGTGAAGAGGAGGAGTAAATTTAGTAGCAACGCTAAGTCAGCATTCAATTTAAACAGCCGAATTTAATTGATTCAAAAGTCGCGCTTCACATGCATTTAACTCTCGCATTAAGTTCAGCACATGTGCAATTCGACGTTTTAGCAGGGCCTTAGTTATCCCATATTTCTTTGTAAAATTTCCATTGCTTACTGTTGGAATTTTCTAAATGTCCACTGCTACCGCGCGTGCGTCAAATTAAATTCTGGCCGTCCGCGGTGCCCTCTCTAAACGAACTCTTGCTCAATCACCATGAAGGCTATACATAACCCACTTGCATTTGACGTTTTTCTTATCTTAGAAGCGCTGCTGGAAGCAAGATGGTCTGCTCTAGAAAGGAATTTTTTCATGAAATTACTGCCCCGACAGGGCCACCCAGAGTGAAAATATTAACAAGCGCCCTGGAGGAACGATTGCCGTTAACGCAAGGTAGGCCTGTTGGTCAGAGAACGACTTCGAACGAACCTTAATTCGTCACTGCCCTTTGCCAAAGTTCCCAATAGACCCAGTCCCAGGGTTATAATTTAGCCGGGACTGACTGCCGTAATACATGGTAAGAGCCAAAATTACTTTTCTTGATAAGCCCGTACCCAGGTTTGGTGGCCATGTTTCGCACGATTTTCCCATATTTCATTAGCTTGGTGGCTTTGCACAAAGATTTCTAAACATAAACGGCCACGAAAGTATGAAACGCAGTACAGCCACTGATTTATATTACTTAATTGCTTAGGCGGCGAAGCACGCAGGGGCCGATGAATTTTCAGAAGGTTTGAGCGATATAGCACAATTGTCAAAGTTGGGAGCTAGGAAACACTAATCATGACCCCAAATCCACATATTCGTGTCCATATTTTCTTTTTTAACTCATCTTGTTTTTAACATTAAGAGTTAAATCAATAAGGTAATCCAGAAAAGGACAGTTCTCGCTGGGATTGGCCTGGGTCTTTTTATAGTTTCAAAAGCTTGCGTTCCGTAAGGGTGTGGGTGAGTACCTGATCCTTGCACAGACGCGGAGAGAACCGTGGGAGTTGTTACAGCCGTTGCTGGAGCTGGGGCGTTAGTAGCCGGAGTAGGCGGCGGGAGAACATCTGTGGATATGCCAGTCTTTATCGCTCCGGTTAGTGCAGAAGATAATGAGGCAGTGAACAGATCAGGATCGATGGTCATTGCCGAGGTGGTTAGCGCCTCTGTTGTTGATGTTAACGATCCGACGATAGCTGGAGTGACAGATGAAGATGCTGGTGTAGATAGCTCACTTGATGGCCTGGTGCCAGCGTCGAGAGCCGAAGTGGCGAGAACGTCTGAAATTTATTTTCAAAAGTAAAAGACGTAAAAGAGTTATAATAATAATAATAATAATAATAATAATAATAATAATAAAATTTTAAATCCCCTATTAGATTTTATGGAGATATACAAAATTAAGTTATGCAAATAAAACTATTAAAATGTTTTGGACTTATATCTTCCCTTAGACATCGTTTCCATAAAACTTTCCAAAAGATCCACCCTGTAGTGATCGCATATTGGGTTTCCTGTACCAGTGCTTGTAATGCATTGTAGGAAGAGTGTGAATATATGGGGGACTGAAATGTGCGTTGTTTTTCTAAGAGTGGAATCCAGAGTCATCGAGGACCAGTCTGGCGTGCAGACACTATAAGCCCGTCGTGCCCCGCATGAAGATTTCAGTTTCGTACATCCGTGCAGCCATGTAGTATCCTCTATTACTATTTTACCTGAAGCCTGCTCGCAGTTTTCTCCTGTGAAGCGTTCTGTGCAAACACAGAGGTATTTCTTGCTCGTATATCCTGTGAAGCATGTTCCGTTGTTAAGACAAGGATTACTGGCACAAAGGTTCTAATGGAGAATATACAAATTTTAAAATCACATATAAAATTATTTACCTTGTTGAGATCATTATAAGATAGAAAAGGTGTTATTTAGATCTCTCGAACCTATCGATAACTTCAGCAAAATTCAAGTGTTTTTTCCATAGAGGTTGAAAGATTTGGGATTTTTCTGGAATTTTCGATTTATAGGGGCGAATACACATATTTATATATCATAATTATTATCAACTTCAGTATCATTATCATCCATTTTCTTAGTCGATATCGTCATCATCATCACCATCATCATCTTCATCGGCAGCAGCAGCAGAAACGCATCAACGGGATCATCAGTCATCCGCCTACTTAAAAGGCTTTAGTATTTTTTTTTTATCGAGAATTAGCGATACATACATTAGGCTGTCGGTGGTTTACCTACTTATGTTTTAAACCTATTTTTCATTGGTACCTCACTGGTGCCTCTATAAATCCAGCCGTGTCTTGGTTTAAGATGTTGTTGGTGCTGTATGTGATCTGAATCACTAAGCTCACACACAACTTTGTCGTTTACAGGCGGACCAATGTTTACTGACACACATCTACTCTCCATGACACATCTGTGATGACAAGGTGTGTTTATTCCAATAGTAAGATTTAAAAACACGTGATCTGCCAAATAATGGCTATCGACCGGTGGAAGGAACTTGAGGCGACGACAACCATCTGCAAAGAAAAAGGAAGCAAATGGCCTTTCCTTGTTAGGATGTAACAAGAGCCATAATGGCTCTTGGATGTAATAAGTAGACTCTTAAGTATAAAACATTGATCGGAACAGTTGATACCGACTCGTAAAAATCAGAATCGGCCTGCATAATTGTCGTGACCTTTCTCATTGTCGCCTTTCCCTTAATGGGTGATCTCACAAAGAATACGTTCAGTAGAAAGAAAAAGAACAAAAGGCAAGCTTATGGGAACCAAATCCTGATTCGCCTAAAAGAGAAATGTATGTTCAATGCGGTGTTTTCAAAGTCAAAGTTCAACGTTCAGCTAGAAATGAGAAGAGGAGATATCTTCACAGTCTTGTAAGAGTGGTAGAGGCTGCTATCCAGCACAAGAAACAAGAGATAGTTCATAGGATCACAAAGTATTTGTGGAGGCCATTGGACTGCAAAAGCACCTATATCAGGTGCATAACGTTCAACTGAGAGGTACCAGGAAGAGCGCTGGGCAGAACACTTTCAGGAAATACCTGAAAACGGGGTTTCAGAGGACCAACTATCACCTTGATGTTAGCATCAAACCACCTGCTAAGGCGGAGTTTTACCATTAGAGATCTCTAGTATGGCAAGGCACTATGGTATACCACGTGACTGGAGCAATTCACAAAACGAACACACACTGTCTGACTTTACAGCAAGGAGCCCAAAAGTGTGACCTCCTTTAATTAATACACATTCTTTCATGAAGGCATTAACCAATCAGAGGTCGAGGACAGTTTCCAGCTGGCTTGTGAAACGAAAGAATTGCACGAAAGAATGTGAATAAATTCAAAACGGTCACACTTTCGGGCTCCTTGCTGTAACCACTAGCGAGGTATATGATTATCACATTTCTGTTTCACCAAGTAAATTCTTTGCTAACGTCACAGAGAATTATCTCTCTTTGACGGGGGGTGGAGCACTGCACCAATTCCGATGTCCGATATCCAGCATCCTACATCAATCCTGTGACGTCATTTTCTTGCCAAAAACCGTTCAAGTCGAAAAACAAAAAAACATAGGTTTG